TCTGCCTGCTTGTCTCTCTTTCCCTCCCTCTCTCATTCTTTCTCTCTTTCTCCCACCCCCACCCCTTGTTACAAAACCAGAGATGTTTCACTACCTTTCTTAAAGAAGAGCCTCTATTGTTTCATGTTCTAGTTGAAATTATTCCTTGAAAATAGGCGTTTATTTTTTTTAAAGCCAAACTATTTCTGGTCTTTATCTATCAAGAACCAATGTGCCAGCTGCTTACATCTGCAATGGCCGTGCACCAGCCAAACCACAGCAACCTCTTTCTGAAGGCAATTCAATCTACTGCCAATCCCACATAGAGACCACTCATTGCCATCGGTTCACCTGGTCTTTTGAGCTCAGAGAACTGCTTTCTAATTCTGAGTCACTGCTCACTCACTGTCAAAAACCAAGCCCATATACGTCAATTCATTCATCAATTCTTTGATTTCTCCACAACCAGCCACCCACCTTACCCTCCTACACGTCACTGGATCTTCTCATATGCACATCTACAGTGAATCACAGCTCTGCTTTTTCACTCTAATGGTCTATTCAACGGCCCAGGCTGCACCATGACAGCCCCAAGGAGGAGTTAACACATGTTCCAGTTACACTGGAAGGAATAGCTGCCATTTGTAAAATTAGAATATTAAGAACCTTGACTTATTCCCACTAGAGCTTGATTTTAAACCCAGAGTAAAGGTCTGCTCTCTCCATTCTAATATAACCTGGGCAGAGCTCTGTCCTTTTGTAATGCTGTACAAGTCTAAGAAGGCTCTGCCTGCTATCTCTACATCACTGTCATCATTTGACGTTACTGAAATGAGGCAACCCTGTAATCATACTTCCCAAGGTCAACCATGGTAGAAAAGAGTTCATACTGAGGTGTACCACACACTTAAGGATTATAAAGCTGACCCGGTTTGGTACTTTTTATTTCGGGTCTTCTGACAATAATGATAATGACAGCAATAATAACTATTATTTTTATTGATATTACTTAGTACTTGCTTAGGATGCCCTTTTCTTCAGTATTAGGGGTAAGACTCAAGGTCTCATATATGCTAGGCAAGCGCTGTACTACTGAGGTGCATCTCCAGCACTAGGGTGCTCTCTTTTTTTTTGTTTTTTTGGTACCAGAGATCAAACTCTGGTCCTTGTGCTTTCAAGGCAGGAGGCAGAAACACTGAGCTAAATCCCTAGCCCTTGGGTGCTCTTTCTGATTGACAAAAAAATAGTTGCTGCACCATCTGATGCCATGTTACTTGCTTTCTTTATGATTGTTCAGTGAAAATCCCTCTCTCCCTCCTTCTCCCCCCGACCACACTACGGAGAACTGAAGACTTTCAGCAGGGATCACAGGGAAGAGACCCCCATTACTTGCTTCTTGGCTTACACAAAACTGGGGAACAAAAGCATCAGGGAGCCCTGTGGTTGTTGTCATGTTAATGTTCAAAGGCCCTAGAGCAGCCTGTGCAATATCACACTCTGTGTTCTGTATTTGCACCAGACAATGAGGTGTGACTATTGTGCCCATGGAATGTGGCCAGTACAATAGGAGAGCTGAAGCCTTAGCTGTATTAATTTTAATTAACTTAAATTTAGTATACATGCTGCCGAAGCGAGCACTTAATTAACTTAAATTTAAATAGCTACTTGCACCTGTAGATGCCTTGATCCACTCACTCTACCTTTTTTACCTCCCTTCTGAAAGATCTGAGTGTGATCATCCCCCAAACTCTATTTCTGATCAAGCACCTGAGAATGTTGGTAGAAAATTCACAAACTCTAAGGGCAGCACTGTCACTGTAGTTACAGAGAAAAGGCCAAGTGGCTTCTCAGAGAAGACGGACGGGCAGGCTCCTCTGCCACCATCAGGGGTCACTGAACTTGGAACAGAGTTCCCAGGGGTTGGGATGAACCCACTCCAAGCAACTCAATCACAAGCAAAGAGCTAAAAAAAGAAATTTTGAGTGGCTTGAAAGACTATCTTGAAAAACAAAACCAGTGGAATGAAAGCAGTGGGTGTCTTGTCAGCCTGGAGCAACCGTTACCACTAGCCAAAAAACAGAACTAATTACTGGCTTAAAAGGAGAAGGTGGTGGTGGGGGAATAAAGAGAGAAAATGGCTAAAGCAGAAAATATCTGAGGAATGTAAGTAGTTTCCCGACACTTCTACTCCAAGGGCCTGTGTATGACACTTTACCGTGGCTGTTTCCTCCCTCTGCTCCACCCCCAGTGCCTTGATCCTCCATGAAGACCCCTTCCTCCCGAAGAAATTTAATTATGTCTGTTTACCTGTCTAAGGAGGGGATAAAGCACATGGTTTTCTTTTCTTCAGCATGAGAATGGTTGCTCTTTGTGGAGTGACAGCATGGGTGACACAGTGGCTTTCAGGTTGGCCTCAGCCTCTCCAGCCACTCTGAACCCATTAGCATCTGCCCTGCCCCTAGCCGAGCACAGCAGCTTCCTTTCTCCCCACTGCCCCCTCAGGGCCTCATTTTTTTTTTAAAGGACCACCCGGAACAGAAAGGGAGTTGTATCTTTTGCTTCCAGTTTTGGGTTTTTTTTGTTTTTAGTTTTTGGTAAGCAGAAAAAAAATGAAAAATACAGAAATTTTAAAATTTTTAAAATTTTAAAATCATCAGAGGAAGGGAAGGGCCCTGAGTACCATATTATGATTTTGTTTTCTCGAAGCAGTTTACAAGTGCTACTTTCCCAAATTTTCAGGATTCCTCTGGAAGAGGAAAATAATTGTTTTCCTCCTCAATATCTTAAGGGAGGAACAACATTAGATCTAGCAGTTCTGTCTGGCCCTCATTTTCTCGCCGTCCCTATCTGGAATTCTGCCTGCCCTGTGAGCTCACTGGGAAAGGCCCTCCCCAGCCTCGGGCTGTAATGCATCTACAGGGACAGACACTGGAATTCCCACCCAGTAGCCGAAGTCAGTGGAGGGGCCTTCAGGTGTGGGGCAGCAGAGGTGAAGCACAGGAGCAGTACAGGCCAGGGTCAAAGGGAGGCAGTATGAGCTCCTCCAGAAATGCAGCTTGCTTGTTACCTGCTGGCTTCGGATCCTGGGCTGGGCTGACCTCAGACACCTTTAGAGACAACTTGCTTAAAAGAGTGCGAGGGAGGAGACCAGAATTATTGGAAGAACCTGAAGATAAGTACTGAGTTGGAGCCAGTGAATCTCCCCATAGCATAGAGAGCCATTTACATAGTCCTCTGTTCAAAGTGCCTCTGCCGACCTGCACTTTGCACACACAACCCTCCCAGAGACCACCATGCCCTCACTCAGATGCTAAGCACAACACAGACACACAGACACACAGACACACACACACACACACACCAACCTTCCTCGCATTTGGATAAAAGATGGGGGCTGGGAAAAAGCACCAATTAATTGGATGCAGTCTCAAAGGAGAGGAAATGAAATGAAAAATCCAGGCTGAGTTATAAAAATAAGTATTTTTTTGCCAACGTGCAAGAGGCTCATTATATTAATTAAACATTATTGCTGCAAGTGAGAGGGGAGGGTGATTAGGGCTGGGAGTAGGTAAGCGTTCTCTCCCACGCCCCAGGCCGTGGCCAGCTCCAGTACTAAGCTCTCTGAACACTCAAATGCTGAAGAGATAAACACTTGAAATATGAAAATGTTTTTCTTCAGAGCAGACTGCTGTGACCCACAGGGAAACTGAGTGAGGGCTGTGTTGGGAGCCTGGCTCAAGTGCTCTCCTAGTGCCTGTCCCTGGAGACAGGGACAGCGCGGGCCCTTGGGGTGAAGCACTGAAGGGGAGCCCCTCCCCCGGTTCTTTTCTAGCCTTTGCTCATATATGCTGGCAATATTTGGTCTACTAAATTTTCCTTTCCTTTCACAGGGACCTTGGGGGACCAAGGTCCAAGCTGGGGTTGTGGAAAATTGAAAGATAATGGTGGCGAACTGGGCCTACATGTACCAGTTTGGGAGGGCCACTTGTTAGATTTCTCAGAACTTTGCAAGCCAGTTAAATGTAACCATTGTTAAAACTCAATTATATAGTTATAATAAATTATATTAAAAGCAAAAGGTAATACATACTCCAAACTCCACACTTTCCACAATTACTTTAATGCATTTTCGCTTGCATCTCTGCTTCTGAGGTTTTTATATCTACTATATCTGTACAATGGGAAAACACTCCCTCATGCCCTATTACTGCACTGCACAGCTCTGCCTCCAGTGCCGTGTTGGTGGCTTAAAGTGATCTGCGGTAAGAATATTTACACTACCGAAGGTGGCAAATGTTACCAAGATCCTGGTTTTTTTCCAATTCTTGGGAAACCTGTTGTCAAACATTTACAGGACACCAGTTGTTCCACATACAAGAATCTAGATAGTAAATAACTCTTACTTCTCCCTGGTTAGGAGAGCTGAAGGCAAACCAGTGCCAGGACTAGCTCCAGAGATCTGGATCTCTGAAACCCAAAGGTAGGTTTAGCCATAACTCAAAGACTGGCAGCACTCGTCTTCCAGAGGCCAAACACAGCTCTGCTACACACAGCCACAAGCATCACAGCCTCAGACATGGCAGCGTTTCAGTCCCTGGACACGGCTGGTTCTAGGACTGGTGATGCCCTCAGAAGCTTCAGTCAGATTCAAGGCCTGTGGTTTTCCAGTGAGTCACTTTAGGAACAAGATCCAGCTTGAAGTGGACAAGAGGCTCTGTGACAGAGGTACAATGGGAACAAGGGGACTCTAGTGCCTCCGTCCACGGCCAAGGTCTTCCGAATTGCTCTCTTTCTTTTCTCTTGGCCTCCTCTCTCCCTCCCAGTTTTCAGGCTATGCTGTAATCATGAAAGTGATGGGGATCACCGAATGGTTAGTCTTAGGCAAAGGTTGTGGTGGTTTGTGGGAAAGGAACAGAGAACTGCAGCGCAGTACAGTTATGAAGCTTGCAAGGAATCCAGGGCTGGGAGGTGCACAGCAGGCTACCTTATACCTGTTGTTTCCTGACCAGAAGCTGGCTCACCTGGAAACGTCTGGTCGTTGGGGCTGGAGCTGCTGACCCAGGTGCTTCTGAGCCACTTGGCATGGTCGTACATCCACCCACAGGGCTCCTCGGGGAAATCAAAGTTGCAATTGAATCCTGAAGGAAGCTGCAAATCTTTGTCTAAAGGGGGGAGAAAAATAACCCAAAGGAAGGCAAATGAAATGGGTCCAGAGAATAGCCACAGTGGTGCTATTTAAATGGTTGGCAAGGCCTGAGCAGAGAGCAGAGAAAGAAGTGGCTCCCTTTGGCTTATTCATTTAACTCATCTTGGCGATTGCTGGCTTTCGGGTCAGGCTTTGGTCTCATCCTTCCCAGGCGTGAAAGCCAAGTCTGCCAATGGTTCCCATAGTAAGCAATTATAAATGAGGCCACCAAATGGCTTCAGGCTCTAATCAGCCTCTTCTGACTACCCCAGAGAGCAGACAAATGTGAAAATTGCTGTTCCCTAAATGCCAGAGAAGAATGTCTCCCCAATGGAAGGCTGGCTCCCAAAAATGTATCATCTCATCTCCTGCCAACCTGGCTCTCAGAAGTGATGGAGCAGCCCATTAGCATCCAGGGAGGTTGAGGTGCCTGGGAGGTTCTGGCCGGTGAAAAGAAAGTGACCTCAGAAACAAGGCAGGCTTGTTTGCTACCCTCACCTCTTTATGATCGTCTCTTGTTTCAGAGGATCAGGCAGTAAGGCATCTCCCCACAGGTGGCCAATTCAATGTGTAAGGAGCAAGACAAAGGGCCCAAATGGGCAGGCCACCCAATATAGTGCTCATGAGACAGAAACAATTTTACATGGTGCTGAGTCCCTCCAGGCAGGGATCCCACGGGAGATTGAGAATGTTCCCCATGGAGATCTAAGAAGTGACCACATAATGGCTGGTCCCATCTGCTTTGGAGGTTCACCTGCCTAAGCTCCAAGATGGAACCAAGAGGATTTCTTTTGGGTTCTGCCCAGCCCCAAAGGTCCAGTGTGAGCTAGTGCTAAACATACGATTAAGTGGAGGTGCAGAAAGAGGAAATGGAAACTCAAATTTGGATGCTTGCCGGCAGTGGCTGCACAGACAGCAGAAAAGTGCTAGCTAATGCTGGCAGAAGGGAGGAAGTAGGGTCTTTGGCCTTCTCATGTCCCTTCCCAGAGTTCCCAGAGGAGAATTTCTGAGGGGAAGTTTCAGAATGAGGACTAGGAAGTCTGGAGGGGGAAACAGACTGTTACAGACAAATTGCTCACCATGGGGACATGGAGGCTTGCTTATAGGGAACAGGGTGCTGGGACTTTGGGGGTAGGAGGCAGGTTGCCAGCAGATCTAGCTGTGCCTCACCCAGGACAGGATATTTAACATTTGCCGCCCCCCTTGGCCAAAGTCAGCTTGATTTGAGAAGAAACATATGGGAGCTTTTATAGAAGCATCAACCTGTGGCTTGGAAAACTCAGCCCTTAGCTCTCACATTCCCTTCGCCCTACAATTTCTGAATGTCTATTTTTCTGTTCAAAAATATGAAGTAACCCAATATACCATAATTCTTCCCTAATGTTTACAAGCATACCGTATCTCAGGAACCACATTCCACAAAAAGATCTTTTGCAAAAGAAAGGGAGAAGGGTGAAACCATCAAAGAAACCTCAAATCAAACAAACCACTATAAACAGTAAGACTATATTAAAAATAAACTTCGGAAATTTTTCAGCAGAACCCTGAAATTTTCCTTTGGATTGTCATTTAGCTAGAATCCCCACCCCTAGTCCTCCAACAAGCTAACTCTTCAAATCTAATATCATATATTAACTCCCTACACTTTCTGATTTTGGAAAGCTCTCTCAAACTGTCTTAAACATGTCTTGGAAGAGTCTCCAAGTTTCCTTCTTCGCTTCATAAAACAAAAACAAGTTCATTAAAATGTCACAGTTCCGTATTCACCTAACCCCAAACAATAGTGTTCTTCATCCACAATGCACAAAAGCACATTCCCCAAAAGCATATGCATTAAATTAGCACTTTTCAGTCATATGACTTCAGTATTTATTTTTGACTTTCCTCCCACTCCTAGTAGCCATGTTTTAGAGCCACCCTCTAGATCCTGGGACATCTTCATACCGTCCAATGGCCGTGTGTTCCGGTTTCAGACTGAACCACCCATCTACTTCTCTATGCCCCGTGTCCAGTCTCTTCACCAATCTCCCCTCATTTTACATAATGAGCATTTAATAACAACCAGTAACAGCATAAATCGAGGCTGTCAAACTTAGATTCCAGCCAAAAATGCTAGGTGTTCCAAAACTTGTGGTTTGTTAGGAATGTGCCAATACTTGGTGATCTCAATGGTATGATTTAAGAAGTGACTTACTTTTGGGCCCTGCCAATTATTATTTTTTTATCTAACTTGGACACACTTAGAAGATAAAATAAAGGGAAAACAGGTTCCCCATGTGAAGAAATGATCCAAAAACAAGGATCTCTCCTGAGTTTGGGAGGAGGACTGAGGATGCCTTTCCACAGGTGCACTCAGGCTGAGAGTATGGCCTCCTGGAGAAGCATCTTTGCAATATGTTCTTAAATCAGTGGTGCTGAAAGATGCAGGATATAAATCACACACTGCAAAATTAACCTGGGCATCACGCTCCATGAGCCGAGACACCCAGGTAATGGTCAGATCCCCCCTAGATGGTACTGTGGAGACTCGGCCTAACAAGACAAAAGGTCACCACTCTGAATTCCAAGGCTGGAAATGGCTTTCCTTTAACAGGAGAAGCAAGACCGTGAGTCCTGAATTGTGAGACTTCTCACAGGAGGTTCTCTTTGGAGGTACTTAAGTCAGCTGGTGACCACCTGGTTATACCTGTACGACTGTTCTGGTTATCACAATATCTGAATGCATTTATATGGACTGTAAAAAACCACTGCCCCAAGCCTCTGAGTATCTGCACCTCTCTGATCCTTTCCCTGAGACCCCTGGACCTCTGACCCCATTCCCCCTTCCAGTCATAAACCAGCCCCACTGTGTCTGGCCCCTGTGTCATTCCATCCTAGGTGTAATGTGATCCTCGCCCCCTTCCTCACCGTCCTCAAAGCTGCAGTTCTCCCCACACTCCGTGGCCTCCTCCTCGCTGGGATATGGGGTGGTAGCATCTTCACTCTTTATGGTAGGTCCCAGGGTCTCTACTGTGGGCTTTGAGTCTGTATCAAGGCAAAGGAAGTGAAGAACATGTTAGCAGCCTTTACTGCAACCTAGGAAGGGGCAGATGCCCAAAACTAAGTTTCCTCTCTAAGCGTGAGCATCTGAGAAAGAAAACAAAGATGTATGTGTGTGCAAAACCCCAAGGTCACCTTGAGTGTGGACAAAGCCAGGTGTGTCACCTGAATTGAACAAGAATGATCTAGAGCTGCAGAAGCAGCTGTGAAAGAGGCATGAACACAAATCCATGCTCTTGATCCCATAGAAGAGGCCCTGAGGTCAGCACAGAAGGTCTTTCAAGGCCACAGCCTTGTCCCAGTCAGGCAGGACTATTTAGAACCAAAGCTAAATCTAGAAAACATTCTGACCTATAGGTCCACCTGCAATAAGACAGTCAGAAGCAATATCGCCAAAGCCATAATCAAAATCCAGCATTTGGGGAATCTATGTGTTTGTGTTTGCACAAAGCAGGACAGACAGGAATATGGGTTTAAAGGGCCTCCAAGTTTGCCTGGGGAAAGTAATTTGGAGCTGTGCCTTTAGGTTAGGGGGTGGCAAATTCAAATGGCTCCTGGATCCAAACAGCTACTGTCAGTCTGGAAAGTAAACTGGGCTGGGAAGAGAATAAAGTGTGGTGGGAGTTGGGGCAATCAGGATCTTGCCTGGTTAAGAGGAGGCCACCATTATTGGTTCCAGCAAATTGAGGCTTCTATGTGGAAGAGGTAGCTTAACCACAGACTACAGTGCAAAGGAGCATGTATAGAAATGGGAGGAATGGCTGAGGATGTAACTCAGTGGCACACCTGCCTTGCAAGGGCAAGGTCCTGAGTTCAATTCCTGGTATGAGAAAAAACAAAAAACAACAAAACAAAACAAACAAACAAACAAAAAACTCAAGGAATTGGAGGAACAATACATAGAGTAGCCAGGTTTTCCAAGAAGTTCCCCTCTCCACACCCCCACCAAGAAGCCAAAAATCCCCACATCAAATTTACAGGATCATAAATGCTGGAAACTTATTCACAATGTTAAAAGCATGCAATAAAACCTGGCGAGGCCAAACCTGGTTGTAGACAGTTGGCCTTGACCTGGGCTCTAGATGATTCATTCACCTATTCACTGGCTTATTTATTTGCCCAAGGCAGACATTCATTCAGTAACCATTTGGGAAATGAATGGAGCTATGAGTCAAGTCCTGGGTGGGGTGCAAAGGATTATGAAAACTGGCACTCAGGCCTGCATGTTGTAGGGTGGTATCTCCCTTCCAGAACTGTCTTCCAACAAGATGGCCCGAGGAAGGCAGTGCATTGTACCTCTCATTTCTATACATGCTCTTTGCGCTATTGGATGTGGTTAGACGCCTTTGTCAGGCACCCTTCAGGATAGCATTTAATAGAGCTAGGAGCTGAGGGAAATTGCTAAACACACTGAATAGTTTTTCACGGTTGGCTTCCTACCTTTTCACTATTAAATACTATGTGCTTAACTTTTCATACTCCCCTTTGCCATATCTGCCTCTTGCTTAAAGTAAATAGCAAATAACCTCGAAGTGTCCTAATTTTTAAGTTCAAATTTGTCACCGTATCATACAATCTTAAACTCACCTGTAAAGCAAACTACGAGTGGCAAAGGAATAAACATTCATTTGAAACATAAACAAACCAACAGGGGAAGAAATAGCCCTGTCAAACTATAGAGTTTGACAGCTCAACTCATTGCATTATTTTTACTGTTATCTTTTTGGGGGAAGGAATGAAGAAGGGCATAAAAGATGAGCTACAGAAATAGATAAAAATTTGAAAAGAAAAAAGAAGCCATGTAACTTAAGAAGAACAGTTTCCAGAAATGTTAGGCAGCAAGGTGGGTCAGCTGGTTGGTGCAGATAAAGTCAAATCCAGGGGCACTGGAAGCCAGAGAGGTGGCAAGAGGACAAGGTGTGTAAATGAAAGGGAAGAGACAGCCGACAGCCCCTGTGCCCATGTATTTGTACTGGGTGCTCTAGAGTAACTGCCCATCAAACAGCAGCTTTCCCTAGAAATTGAAACCAGATGTCAGAGACTTCAAAGGGAAGGAGGCTGGGCAGAGGGGTAACTCGTCTTAATTCTGATCTTCCCAGGGCCAGGCAGACTTTGAAATGGGAAACCTGTTCCTCACCATCACCAGTGCCATTTGGGACAGGTTGGGATGGAAAGCACAAACAGGGACTGAGGTCATTAGTAACTGTCCAGCTAGTCCTGAAACTGGACCAGCCCCGGAGGATAAAGCATTGGACAAAGGATTGGAGGGAATTGAGAGTTGGCCTCCACCTCACCAAGTTAACCTCTGGCAAGTGGCTTCCTCTTTCTAGGCTCAATTTCTTCATCTGTCCAAGAGGATTGGACCTGGCTCTATGATTTTTTTTTTCAAACTGTATGTTTGTTTTGTTTGGATTTTTTTGGTACCGGGGATTGAACTTGGGTCTTTGCGCTTGTGAAGCAGGCAGCAGAACCACTGAGCTAAATCCCCAGTCTGTTTTTTTGTTTTTGTTTTTGTTTTATCTTATTGAGTTTATTGGTACTGTTCAAGTATACAGTACTGTTGCTTTCGTTATTGGGATCTTGTACCCTTACATGACATATCTTGGTTCTCATTTTTTCCCCGTACCCCTGCCCTCCCTTCACTCCCTCCACCCACCCCTATTTACAAAGTCAAACTGTATGTTATTCTGATCATATCGAGTTGATTGTAGATTGAGGAATCAACTTAATGGGTCATGATGAGCATTTAAAAATAAGAATGCTATTATTTCAGAGTGCATTGGCAGGTAAGGAGGAGCACTGCTCTGGGAGCCTTTTGTTCCTGTCACATTTACCTGGAACAGGTTTGCTAGGCTGCAATCTAAGTACTTCACATTTATGTTTTTAAGTAATCCTCATAACAGTCTGAGAAGCGCAAACTGACTATTATCATGTCCATTTTCCTGCTGAGACACGGAGTCATTTGTCTGAAGTTATACAACCAGCAGTGTCAAGGAAGGACTTGACTTTAGCCAAATGTGTCTGGAATACAAACACCTGACCAGACACCACACCCCATGTACGGACACGTGTGTGAATAGAGTTGCGAAAAGATTTATTTTAAATTGTGGGTCGTAATCAAAATATTTGGAGGCCTCTGGCTTGGACTCTCCTGCTGCCCTACATTGCTGACTCCTGGCTCTAAGGTGGCTACAAATGAAACTAGTTTGTATGAGGCAGGTTTAGCACCTGGGAGATCCTAAGTTGCAACCTTCAGCAAGCTGCTGGAAACTTGGCCTCACCCTGAAAACTGGGAAACAAGCGTTTTCCTAATAGGATGCCCTTTTGCGGCAGCAGTCTCCGATTCCAAGGTGAAAGGTGCTAACTTAGGCCTGGCTCCGGGCTTGTGTATCTTAACGGGGCCTACTTTGCCCTCATAGCTGGCTCACAGGCAATGATTTTCTCCTTGGGAGCCAAAAGCACTTCTCAGGCATGCCTTTTTTAATCCTTCACACCATCCTGCTGGGTGAGCTGGTGACAGGAAAATGGGGATACCTAGGTCCCTGGTGGGGAGGGGCAGCTCCTGCCACATTGGGCTGGGCCCTGACACCCAGGTGGCTCCAGAGTGCTGGGTGAGTGAGCTGGGGAGAGATCCAGTGCCGGCCTGGCCCTGCCCTGCTGTGGGAGGTGGGTGGGTGACTCAGAAAGAAAGGGCAGGGGTGCGCAGCTGGCCACACCCTCACAGGGAGAAATAGAGGCACTGCTCCGGGCTTGTGCCTCCTGGCTAGGACGAGCTGCACACTAGGTAGAAGTCCTGTTCCCATCAGCTCTCCTGCACCAGGGCTTCTCCTGTGCAAAGAAATGCCTTTTACAGATGTGGCTTTGCAACGAAAAGAAAGTCTCTTAGCTACTGACATCTGGAGGCCAGATTCAGACATAAACTGATTACTTTATTATCACGAGGGTTTTGTTCTTCCCTAAATCAACAGCCACAGCCCTCTGGCCTGAAGAGTCAGGGTCTAATTGAATTTGAGTGGGTGGTATGTGGTTATGATTTATTTTGGGGGGACTTGGGTTGGAGAACTGAAGTGATCCTTTAAAAAGACAAACCATATCCCCTGAGAACCTGTCCAATTCTAGAGGTATTCAAGAAACGAGCCGGATGGTAGTGTTTGCAGTTTCCAACTGATAGGGATTCACCAGGATGGATGTGTAGGATGTGGGGGTCACAAGACTACATGAGAAACATCCAGAGAGGGAAGCAGTGGTACCTGTCCAGTCACAGCCCAGCACCTCCAGCCGCATCCCGATGCCTGCTGGCGACCACCTCTCTGGGTACACACGCACATACTGGGCAGGGACAGGGTCGAATCTTCTGATGTCTGGGCTGTCGTAATGCACGTTGCCTTCAAATAGCTGCAGAAAGACAGGTCACTCAGCCCTTTTCTTGTGTGATCCCTCCCCACCTGCCTTTATGCCATGTCCCACCCAGAGAGTAGCTTCATGGTTGAATTCATGGGACATTCCTACCCATGCGAGTTCCACACTTATACCAAGGATCTTATGTATTTGGGAGGTTATAGGGGCCCAGAAATATGGAAAATATGGAGAAAAAAGTGGTAATTGTCAAGTAATGTTTATTATCCTGGGATGGACACTAAGCACCCAAGAAAGAAGGCTCCAAATGTGTTTGAAGCTGACCTTACTAAAAGAGGTAAAGGCAGCTGTAGGCTATCTTGATCATTCTGAATTCTTTGGTTTATTGAGAAAGAAATGCCTCTTTTTCTAATGTTTGAAAATCTACACTTAATAAGTTCCAATGGTCATTAGTTCCTAGTTCACGGAAAGCCTAAAGGGAAACTGATCACTTTCTTCCACAGGTGAAGGACTGATTCCTCTGGTCACACACTGATGTCTGAGACTATCTCAAACCTTTGTTCAGTGGAAGTAATTCTATGAGAAGAAACCTTCATACAGTCCCACGTGGGCTGCCCTGGTTGAAGTTGGTGGCAACTTGATTATGCTCCAGGAATACAGCAGGGTCAGCCAATCATAAGATGCCTGGGTCCCCAGTTCCAAGAGAGGGGCACTGCCCTGAGCAGGACAGGCTCTGATCCTAGCCAAGATTGCCTCCTTTTCTGAGGAATCAACTCTTCTGGGGAAGCTTGTGGGCCAATTTCTGCTCCATTCATTGAAGGTTCCAGTTACCAAACCCTGGGCCTTTCCAAACCACTGGAATTGTGAATTGGAAGTTTACATCTGTACTGCAAAGCTTCTGACTCAGCCCTGGATTCTGCATTCAGAATGGAAACTTTTACTTAGCTAAGGTGTCTGACCAGAGACCTGCAATACCCCTTCCCCTTTCCTTTTTAGATTTATCTTCTGAAGACAAGAGGTAATTTCAGTGAGGATTCAGGTGGCTGGCCAGATTTATTACAGCGAATCTGAAGAAGGATGTAGGCCTGATGTTCTCTCCCCTCCTTGGGGCTCCTTAGGCCCTGATTGAAGGCTGGCCTTCACTTTTCTGATGGCAAGGGTTGGGCACAAGTGTTTCTCTCACTTCTTCCCATTCTCAATATGAGAGGCAGGAAAGATCTAGGAAGTTAAGAGTAGGAAAACACAAAATGGCGTAGTAACATTTGGAAAGGTTATCTTTGGAAGTAAATCTCAGGTTTCTTCAGTTTGGTGTTCAGCAACCACATCCTCTTGGGATGCCTGGCCAACTTCAAGGAAACTTTATCTTCAGAAGGTGAAAAGGATCTTTATAAACAGGCAATAGTGATTAGGAGACTGGGTTTTGGAGTGAGACTTATGTTATGGTTTCTGAATCATGGCTTGACTCCTGGTAAACCTGTGACCCTGAATATGATATCGAGTCTCAGTTTTATCATCTCTAAAATGGAAGAGACAAAAAGGTTGATCTTACAGAGACTTGTGGGGGGGGCTGGGGGTCTAAATAAGGTGTTAAGCACAATGTCTGGCACCATGTTGTCTCTCAATTGATACTTGTTTCACTGTGTTAGAAGAATTTGATGACAGCATATCAAGATAGGAAATCAGCATGCCCAAAGTCCCTGAACCCTGCTTAGCTTCCCTTTTGGAGGTAACAGTAGCACCCTCTAGGGATGGCCTACCTTTGGTTGCTGGGTCCTGGGGTCTGGGATATATTCCCAGTCTTTGCCATTCAGGCTGTAGGAGACTTTGAACTTGCGCACGAATGCCCTGGCCTCCACTGCTGTGCTGCTATCTCCTCCACGGGCCCCCTGGATGATGACACCTTTCACTGTCTTGGGTGCTCCTAGGTCCACCTGCAGCCACTCTTCACCTGGCTGGGCCTGAGGGATCCGAGGGAACCAGCCCGAACGGCTGCTGACCAGGCGTGCAGTGCTGGGGCTCCAGAGGTACTCTCGGGTGGAAGAGGCAGAGATCTGGGAGTCAGGGATGAGGCCTGACAGCATCCCCAGCATGTTGGAACAGGGAGCATCTGCAGAAAAAGAAGGAAAATACCAAAGGTCATGGCTGGCTCTTACTGACTGGAGACAACCCCTCAGTGGGAAGCTGCAGGGGGCACCAACTAGGTCAACACTGCTTTCTTTGTAACACTTTGTATGGCAAAGTTTGGTTCAAAGCCTGAACTTGGAGCCAGTCTGTCTGGGTTCATGTTCACTTTGCCACTTGGTAGCTTGATGACCTTGGACGAATTACTGAATTGCTCTATGGTTCAGTTTCCCCATGTCTAAGGGAGGGTTAAAAGCAGGATTGAGCTCTTGGGGGTTGTAGTGAGGATTTTGTTGGTTGCTATAGAGTAGCCCTCAGAACAGTGAAGCATCTAGCAGCTGTGAGCTGTTTACATTTGTGGTTCTGATCAAGGACTCTCAGAATGTGTATCTGCACATCCGTTTCATCACTCTAGTCCTCACTGGCCCTTTTAATAACAGTGAGCGCACAACAGCTCAGCTAAGTATGCTGATCAGGTAGATGGAGGCCTGTCTGGAGCCAGCATCCAGTCTTTCCCTCCATATGAGTTGTCAGTCTCTTGGTTTCCCACAGGCTCTTGCTACTTCTCCAAAAGCCCTTAGCTCTGTCATCCCTCAATTCACTTAGCTACCCCAAGGTGTAAACGTCATATTCTTAGAAAGGCTGTGCCCAAACTTTCAATCCATGGTAAATTAGAGCCCCTCAGGAACCCCTTCTAGGCATTAACCAAATCCTTGCTAATTAGCCTTTGCTGGCCTGGAACAGCCTCACAGAAGGAACAGGAAACAGGCCTCTACATATTAGGATTACCACGAACTGCTCCCATGAGAGTGAAGCCAGGCCTTTGTGTAACGTTGATAAGACAGAAAATTTGTGTTGAGAAAATCCAGGTGGAGATTCCTGCTCTGCCACCTCCTAGTTGGGTGCTTTGGGCCAAGGTCTTATCTCTTGAGTCTCCTGCCCTCTTTGCATTGCTAGGAAGAGTAGGCAAGATTATGTACAAGAAAGGAGAGAGAGAGAGCCAAGGATTTAGCTCAGTGGTACCAGGCTGCCTCGCAAGTGCAAGGTCATGAGTTCGATCCCCGACACCAAAAAAGAAAGGGGAGAGACTGTTTCAATGCAGAGGGCCATGCCCTAGAGGCAGAACTGACAGGGCCAAGAGACAGACAGGTGAAGGGATGGACACAGAACACTTTTCCATGATGAAGAAACAGAACCCAAGGATGAAGGGATTGTGTTGTCCACAAGAGGCTGGCGCTGGTTAAGCCACCAGTGCCTTATCAACCTCTCACAGCTGTCCCAGGTCCACTCTTGTCCTCTTCAGGATGTGCCCTTGGATTTCAGCCCACACAGGTATGCTGCTTTTCCACTATATGCATCCCTCCACTTTGCCTGTTGGTCCTTCTCACCTCAGTGCCATTGAGCCAGATGTGGCCTCAGTCTGGTGTACTTCCCTTCCCGTCACCTGGTAGTGTCTGTCTGCCCTCCACCCTGAATCAACCAGCTCCTCAAGGAAGTCCTCCCTGCACCCCTAGGCTGGGTCAACTCTATGATGCACGCCCAGGTTTTCGAACCTCTGTTCCCAGACAGTTAGCATGGTTTTGATTTTACACTTCATGATGAGTTTGCCTGTTTATTAATTTGTCTGCCCACTTGGCTCACAGGTCCACACAGCTGGCCTGATGTGTTTGTCATTGTGTCCACAAGGCTATGCATAGCTCTTGGACTCCAGTCGAGGCAGCCAAGAGAGGTATTTGAGAGCAGAAGCTCTGGATTCAAATTGCCTAGATTTAAACTCTAGCCGTACTACTTACTGGTGGGGTGACCCCACTCTTTCAATTCTTAGTTTTCTCAGCTGTAAAATGAGAACAATAATACCTGCCACAGAACGTCCTTATGAGGATAAAAGATAACATACATTCAGCGAGGATGGAAACTAGGATGTAGTTCGCAATTAATAAATTTTAGTTAGTAGAAATAGTAGATGCTTAATAAATGCATACTGGATGATCCCACCTCTCTAGAAGGCTGAGGCAGGAAGATCCTAAATTCAATCCCAGCTTGGTAAACTTAGTGATTTAGTAAAACCCTGTTTCAAAGCAAAAAATACAAAAAGGGCTCACTGCCAAGGCCCTGGGTTTAATTTCTTGTACTGAAAGGAAACAAAAAGAAACAAAACAATGATAAAACAGTAAACATTTAGAATGAATGAATGAATGAATGAAAAGATGAAGCCAGATGGGCCTTGAGTCTTTGAGCAGTCCTACTGGGAAGACCGCGTGGTACAGTTCTGCCCTTTCTGGAAGGGGGAGCAGAGCCCTGGACAAAAGCAGCTCCTGTGTGAGTGGGGCGCCCGTCTCACCTGTGACCCGGCAGCCGAAGAGCTCCAGGCGCAGGGCGATGCCCGAGTGCCAGCTCTGTGGGCGGATCCTGACGAACCTCGTCAGCAGTGGTGCGTGCAGCTTATTCAGAACCACCTCGGAGGCATCGTTGTTGGCTTGGAACACCTGAAGAGCATCACAGCACGTTACTGGGATCACCAGGAGCCCTGTGTATAGGGCGGGGACTTGAGGAGCCTCTGAAGGGGTGGGAAAGTTCTCTTGGGCCTTATTTCCTTCAAGCTTAAAAAATAATGAGGGGACTTGTTATTCTGGGCTTTTTCAGAAGGACTGTGAAAAACATTTCAATTTGTCACACTGTTCCAACTTGAAAACAATAAATGGTCCTCATGAAAAATTTCAGAGGGAAGGGAATTTTTACCTCTGGGCTGAGAGCAAGCAGAGGGGGGAGCCTTGAAAACAAAACATTTCAGAAGCTAAGAAAGAGAGGGACAAAACAGAATGCCCATTAAAAAGGAAGTGGACATATTATCTTTTAGAGCTTGTAGACCTCTCCCATTACCTTGAACTTGACACCCCCCTGGCAGGCACATAGGGACATTCTCAGGGTGTTTTTATAATTTTAGACTGCTCCACAATCACTTTTTGACTTTTACCTCTTTGAATAAATTTTCTTGAGACACATTCCCACTCCATGAGCAAGCGAGCTGGTGAGAGGCGCCATTCACCTCCATGCCCTATGTTGACCAGTGTGTTCCTGGCTCTTGCTGGTCTTTGTTTTAAGCTCAGGATTGGGACAATCCCTCAGAGTCCTCTCCAGCTTCCTCTCATTGTGGTCCCCGCCCTGCAGTGAAATCCATCCCTGTCTCCAGCTGACCAAAATGTCTCTCATGGGAGGAAAAGCTTTTTGGAGTAGCTTCTGATCCAACATGGTAGGCGCAAGTCCTGGCTTACCAGATGGCCCAAATCAATAACTGCCATATGAACCTTATGCTTTTTTTGTTCACTCCATTAACAAAAAAAGTGGAGCAAGTACATGTGAGGACTTCCCTGATAAGGGCAAAGGGAAAAGTTAACCATCATTTCTAAATCACACCTGTCACAGCTATAACAACCATCTTTGGTAAACCACCTATGTAAATCTATCCACACAGCCAACTCTGCCATCACCTCCTATTCAGGGGAACCAAATGCTTCAATTCATGATACCCAGGCTATGCCAAGTGTTTGAGGCACAGGCTGGGCTGGGACAAGGGAAGGGGGACACTGGTATATTCGAATACCTTCGAGCCAGGCATTGTGTGTATGCAATTACTTCTCTATCCCCCAGGAGGGAAGTATTACTATCTCTACTGATGAGGAAACTGAGGCTCAGAGATGCTGGCTTGGATCCATGGCCTGAAGCTGGTGGTTTCTTAGGTTGACATTTATCTTTTTTTTTTAAATAAATTTGCAGCATTTATACTGGTTGCTAGGAATCACAGTGGCCTTAAAGTCCCCAGTCATGGGCAGAATGGAGGTAGAGTTGCTGTCCACTGATGTGATCTCAGGAGGTGTTCACGATTCTACCATGGCAAGGGTTTGGACAACCGTGAAGAGCTGCAGAGTTGTTGAGAGGCAGTTAGCAATGTAAACCTTTCTCCATGAACCGTGAACTCCACCATTTGGCAACTTTGAAGCCTCCATATTTCTACTTAGCAAAGACCAAAAGTTAGTCATTTGTAACACACCATGAATGGTGGGGGTAAAAGCTAAGGAACATCATACAGTTTGCCACCAATGATGGAAAATGGTTTGTTCAAGATAAATATAGGAAGAAGCAGGTGTCCCTAGATCCACCATTGTTTCAATCATTGTTCTTGGCGCTAAACCCCAAGGCTGAGGCCTGCTCACACAGCCCACCCTGCTTGCTGCTGCCTCTGCTCCCTGGGGAGCAACCCACTCTAACCCTAAGGCTGTCAATGTCCCCTCTGCTGCCTTGCTGAGAGCAGGGAGCACAGAGAAAGGACTCCTTCTCCCAGCTTCTTCTCTGCTGCTGAGGAGGAGGAGAAGGAGCGAGAAGACCAAATCATTACAGGAGGGAGAAGGGCCAGGCAAGCAGAGGCCATGAAGGTTAGAGCCACACACCTGGGAGGCCTGTGGGGAGAGGCTATGACCCTCCACAACCCTCATCTTGGAGAGGGTCTGCCACAGGAGGAAGGGGTGGGGCCCAGCAAAGTCCTGGCCTGGCCACTCCAGTTTCTTGCCTCCTTCCCGCCAACAAAGGGCTCCACAGCTTTGAGAAAAGGGACAGAGTAGTTGCCCTAATGAAAAGACATGAATCCATCCTCCTAGAATTCAGCATGAGACAGAGACTTTTTGTTTGTTTTGCTTTGTTTTGGCAAGGAAGGGACAAATGCAGCACTTTGCTGACTTTGAAAGGGTGCTGTGAGCTGCGGTGGGGGGTCCACCTCTGGACACTCCCTTGGATGGTGATGGTGACTGTGTGTGGCCTCTGGTAGGAGGAGTTCCTATCAGGGAAAAAACTTTATTTGCCACATGAATATATAATGGGAGAGCGGAATGAATCTGAACTTGCTTATTACTGCTAATCCAAAGCGTACACGCCATGCTGGTACCGTTTAGAAACACAGCATGCCTTATGTGTTGTTAATATCCAATTTTATCTTATCTGACCTCTTCATTTCTCAGCCTTGACAGTCAACACCCTACCTTTTCCTTTCCCTCCTCCTTAAGGAATCGATTGCACAGCTGGACTGCCCTTGGGAGGGGAGTCTGGGGGACACCTGCTGGGAGAGGCTGGAGGCACCAGTCACAGAGGGATGCAAGCAAGCAGGCTGCTCTCTCAGGCATCCGCCTGCAGCTCATTCTGAGGTTCCAATTTGCTCACTCTCCTCCCACCCCAGGATCAAATAAAGACTCCCCGCAACTTGGCTTTGAGCTACACTGCATGTTTCTGAGTCTAGTTCCTCACTGATTTCTGGTTTGCACTTGACCTTGTGTTCAGGTCTGCCCTCTGTGTTGCAGACACTTTGGTGAAGGAATAGCACCTTTCTTAGAATTGCCACACAGCTTCTGCTCTCAGTATGGCAGAGTGGACTGAAGCAAACCCAATGCAACCCAACCCACCACTGAATCAAGAGCCAGGAGCCAGGAGCCAGGATCTCCTGATAATAGCTCATACGGTGGGCGAATAGTTGTACCTCCCTGAGCTGCCAATTTCCCCCTCTGGTGAGGGAACAGACTGCATGAGTTCATCTGTCCTCTCTGGCTCCCCCAATCTCTCTTCACAGAGTTTCTGTGGTTTGTTTGAACTGCTCTGAGAGTGTCCACTTTATGTTATACGCACTGCCGAAGAGAACACAAACTTTTATAAAAGGACATTTTAGTTACTTCCTGTCTCTTATAGCCTAAGTGTTCTTGTAAACAAGTGCTGTGGATTTTTAATACCCTTCAGACAGTGCCCAGAATGCAGCAAGTGCGCCATTCAAAGAAAACATACCTTGTTGATATGTTGGCTCAATAACAGTTCAAATTATTAATAACCATGAGTAATGAATAACATCACCTCAGTCCTCACAGATTGTCTTTCACTCAAAGATATCAAAGTGCAGTTTATGAAAATCCATTTTAATGAAATATTAAGCAGTTTCTATTTCTCCTGATCCAATAGATTTACAAGGTCTCTATTTTTCTCCTTGCATACCCCTATTTATACATGGTAAATGCTATCATTTATTATACATCTTTATGACTTTCTCAATGCTTCTGTGGTTTTAGAATCACCTTTCATATATTTTTCTGATCAAATTCCCTGAGATGAACTCTTGGCTTCCAGTCTGGGCACTGCAAGGTAAAGGGTTGTATGCATGGGAAATGATACCAGGAAATTGGTTTTATTCCCGATTCTCTGCAACTCACTGAATGACTACAGGCAAATCAATAAACCTTAGATACTTTGGTTCCTCCTTCAGGAAAATACAGTCTATAATAGGCTTGAAGATAGACATTAAGTTTACCAGCCCTCTCTGCTGGCTCCAATACCTGCCCAACAGCCAGGCCAAATGCTGGAGTAGAAGCCAAGTCACAAGTAACAAATGGGCCATTAGACAGCTGGGAAGGTTCAAGTTCAAAAACCCATTGACTCCAAAGTTCCACCTTGAAACCAAAAACTTTCAGGCTGTAATTCTGCAGTGAGATGTCCATAAAGTGAGAAAAACCAGAAGATTGTTGACAGATATTAAACCCAGAATGGCATATATGAAAAACAATGATTGAATTTTAACATCTGCATTACAAGCTGGAAGTTGGAGTTGATATACATTTTTATGGCATTTTCAAAAAGATATTGATATGGTTGCTTTACTATCCAAAAGAAAACAAGGAGCATGTTCATGGTGACCCTAGCTTTCTGTGGATAGTGGTGATCATGTTGTAATTACTAAATGTGTGCATGCATATGTTGTTTCTTTAAAAAGAAGCTATGTTGAACAAAAGATTTTTTCAAATGCATCTCTCCAAACCAAGTTGAACAAACAATTCAGGGCACAAAGTGCTTTGTATAATCCATCTGGTCTCTTACTGAGTTATGCACATAATCCAATAGTTTCCAATTGATTCCTAAGAACTTTGTTTTATTTTCAGACAGACAGAATCTGAAAACCAGCAGCACTGCATGGATTTTCTGATTTGCACCTCTGGGGGATGGGGGTATCTGCCAAGCAAACTGGCTGCTATCTGACATCCCAGTTGGGCCCTTATCTACCTCCCACCCTGAGGAAAAGATAATCAGTACATGTTGACCATGCCCATGGGTACACCAGGCTTAGACTGTATGGACTATACAAACCAGTATAAAATAAAAATGTGTTTCTTTTATATAAGATAAGAAATATCTCTCAAGCAAGCATCACTGACGTTTTTGAGGTCATCTTTCCTGTCTTGCCTAGGTTTAGTCATGGCCACCTCTACTTTGCTGATCCTCCTTATGTCTTTGAAGAACATACACTGACTCTGCCCCTGCTGAGAACAGTTTGAGCTGCAGCTTGGCTACCCAGGCCCTGCCTGGCCTAGGTCCCTTTGCCATCCGCCATTAATCTTTGCCATCAGCATGCAGCGCTCACTTCGGCAGCACATATACTAATATTGGAACGCTATTGGCATCCAGG